CATCCAACCCTTGAAGGTACATCAGGTTGGTGAATGCCATCAGATGGTCTTCCGGGTTAGTAGTGCCATCATAGGCGCCTACTAAAACATTTTTTACTTTGGCCGGCTGAGCGGCTTCAGTAATTTCCTTGGAGAAGGCCGACGGCTGTTCACCAAGTCTAAGCAGCCGTAGCTGCCAGTCCATAGGTTGGACGTTTTTTGCTGCAGGTCCACCAAATGGAGGTGGCTGCATAAAATATTGTTGTTGCGGCACAAATGGCAAATTTGGTACCGCCTGCGCACTATGAAAGCCAGACTGTCGGGAGGTGCCGCCTGACTGACTCTCATGGTACGACTGAGTTGGCCTCATCGAGGCATTTCGCAAACTGTCCTGAAAATTTGAAGTAGAAGCCGACTCTGATAATCGGTCACTCCTCTTCTGCTCTAGCAGGTGCCGAGCATCTGTGAACGTTTGCTTTGACCCGTCCGCCTGAATATGACGAACCGGTTTCCTATTTCCCGTAGGATAACGGAGTTTTGTGAAATCAAGAGCAGACGGCTCCCGCTTCTTAGATTTAGGATGGGGAGTCGCCTCTCGCCCTTGAACTGGCTTCCTCTTCAGTGAAGTGGAAGGTTTTTTGGCCGCCTGCTCTTTGACTGAAGCAGGCGGTTTTTTGTTGATCAACTCTTGGATCTCTCCCTTGAATCCCCTCATGAAGGTCATGAGTTCGTTCCTTGTGATCGGAGCAGACCCATCAGTCGGCTGTTGCCGAGCAAGCGGTGCGCCTGCTGGCTCACTTCCTGTTTGAAGATACTCCCGTTCCCTTATTTCAGTATGACGGGTACGGCGGGCCCTTAGGGTCCCGTCTGGAGCTGTATGAGTTTCAACTTCAAATTCACTTTCGGTATCATGGTCCGACTGAACTTGAGGGTCGTCTAGGGGACGCCTCTCTTCTGGGGTCGGTAACAGACTTGGATGCCATCTCTGAAGTACTCTCCCCACAGACGGCGCCAAATGTTTCGGGGTTTTCTGATGTCCTGCGGGAGAGTTACAATTCCGAGACTGGAACCGGACGCCTGTACCTGCAAAATAACGGAGACTCCTGAGAGCTCCGCCTCCAACGGTCAAGTTAGTACCTGATTAAGGAGTAGTTAATACAGAAATTAAAGTAATTAGGTCTCTCTAGGTGAGAGTATTTAATGTAGGTAATCTGCTTTGCTAGCGAGATCAGCCGGTTATTAGTGTGTTCCGTCAATTATTCGGTCCCCTGATTAATGAGGATTAATCGAGTATTTATAGCCTTGGGAAGCGTGCAACTCTCTAGGTTTAAGGTAAACCTAGGGCCGAACGGGCTTCTAGACTGAAATGGGCCTTGATGGCCGGTTGTCCCATTTGGCATGGGTGGACACGTGGCGTGTCTTAAGTGGTCCGTGGAGGACGCGTGGCGGAACCTGGTTGGTCCACTTGTCAAACGGTGCTTGGTGGATAAAAATCCCCTAATCAGGTGTGATTGAGAGTATTCGTTCTTTGTGTTGAACTTATTTATGTTTTGCTATTTCATTTATGTTTTGGGATTTTGAATATTGATTTGGTTTTAAATAAGGGCATTTATGGTTCCAATTTGTAAGCTTTGACTTATTGGTTTTCTAAATTATATTATTTTAAGATGTAAGTTGGATTTCTGTTGCAATACTTTGATAAAGCCTTAACGTTTTAACACGTGGCGGTAACATGCCAATTGTTCTCCTCTATTTTTATTTTAAAGTGAGTGGTTTGGAAAAGGGAGAATTATTGGGGTGTTACAATTATAGTAAATGTAAGATGTGACCATGAAAGAGAAAGTATGTGAGAGAAGATATATATTTGATGGGAAGACATGGAGGGATTTGTTGGGTAATGAGTTCATAACTACACTATTTAATACTACTTCCGTTCTCGAAAGAACGACCCATTTGGCCTAATTTTAGTCCCAAAAAGAATAACCCATTTGCATTAAAATCCCCACCAATTTGCTATAATATTTGTGCAAAATTAGTTTCTCCATATAAAATTTTGTTTCTCTATGTACCTTTATTACTTTCTCTCTCTACTTTTTTACAAACCCCATGTAAATTTATCTTTCCAATATACTTTTACGTCTTTTTATTTAACTTTTTTAATACCCGCGAAATCAACCCAAATAGGTCGTTCTTTCGGGAACGGAGGGAGTACACATTATGCAACCTAAAAAAAGTTGTTCTAAAATGTGGCAATGAACACTAGGTGAAAAAAGAAGATTGGCACCGCCCTAAGGCCACCAGTTTTTAAAAACCGGTGGGGAAAATGTGGGGAAAATAGGCGGGATTTTGAGGGGAGGTTTTTGCCACCGGTTCAAACTAAACCGGTGGCAAAAAACATTATTTTCACCGGTTTGAACCGGTGCCTTTTCCTTTAAAAAAAAAGCCCCTTATAAAAACCCAAACCCTACTCTCAAATCACTCAGCCTCCCTCATTCTCTCTCTCCTCTCCTCTCTCTCCTGATCTCATCTCATCTTCTCTCCTCTCCAGATCTCATCTCCTCTCCAATCTCATCTCCTCTTTCATTCCTGCTCTCTCATCTCACCACCACCGCCGCCGTCCCTCTTCTTATCTTTCCTGCTCTCTCGTCTCACCACCAACGTCGACTTCTTTCCCCTCTCTCCCTCTTCTCTCCCCTCTATCCCTCTTCTTTCCCCTCTCGATCTCTCCGACCTCCCTCTGTCTTCTGCCCACCACCACCAACGCCACTAACCACCGCCGCCACCAAGTCCGAAATCAACCACAACTTGTAAAATTCGAGGTTATTTTTAGGTAAAAATTCGAGGTTAGTGGCTTAGTGCATGTAGTTGGGTTTAATTATTCAGGGTTAGGGTTTCTAGGTTTAATTATTTATTTTACATGCCTTGATTTTTTTTTGGGTTTGATTGTTGTAATATTGTTCGAAATTGATGGGTTTAATTGATTTTGGAATTTTCAGGGGTTAATTAATTTTGTTTAGTTGTTTGCGTTTAATTGAGTTTCGAAATTTCTGGTTTAATTTCGAAATTGATTGGTTCGATATTGTTTGAAATTTCTGGGTTTAATTTTTTGCTGGGTGTGATTGATTTTCGAAGGTTTATAGGTACATGCATGATATCTGGGTTTTTTTTTTTTTTTGATTTTTAATAATTTCTTGGTTTTTTTTTTTTTTTTTTTTTTTTTTTTTTTTTTTTGGATTTTTGTTTGATTTCTGGGTTTAAGGGTTTTTTTTTCTTTATTTTTTTCGCAGCTTATTTATATTAATCAATTTATTTTTTTTGTTTTAATTGATGCAGGTATAATGATTTATATCTTAAATTGAAGAATCAAGATGCAGGAATATTGATATAAATGTTGTATGGGTTTTTATTTTATTTTAATGTTGTAACTTTTATTTTTTTTTATTTATATTGTAAATTTTTTTTATTTGTATGTTGTAATTGTTAGATTATATTGATTTATATTGTAATTTTGTTGTCCGTAATTGTGATCTATATCGAGCAATTAGTTGATTAGAAAACTGTTCAGTAATAAAATTATGATGTTGCGTTTCCAATTTTTTGATTATTTAATTTATTCGCTTTTTTTTTTTGAGGAAAAACGAGCACTCAATACCCACACTTTTATTATATTTAAAGTGAATAAAACAAAACAAACAAACAAACAAAAAAAAATTTACATGGACTATTGCCACCGGTTAACCGGTGGCATTAATTTAATATTAAAAAAAAAAAGCGGGACGTGTGTATTGCCACCGGTTAACTGGTGGTAATAACAGCTTTTGCCACCGGTTTTGAACCGGTGCCTTGCTTCAGTTTATTGCCACCCCCCAAATGCCCACCGGTTCAAAACCGGTGGCATAGGGGGGTTTTGAACCGGTGGCAATTGATATTTTCTACTAGTGGAAAGTGAAAAAAGGAATAGGGTTACAATTCATTTTATTATAAGATGACACTTTAGAAAGATGTATACATAAGAGATAAGACATAAGACTAACACATTAAACATCCGTAGCATACTATCATAGAAATTTAGAAAAGAATTTTAGCGTCCAGCAGCATAACAAAAGTCACAAATCTCGACAGTTACAAGTTGCAGCAGTTTTATAATGGATCATGGCATAACAAAATGTTACTGATAGATTAGACTACTATAGTAGCAAAAGGCTTCCATATTTAATAAACAGTGGTAACATAATTCTGAGTCCTGCATCTTAGCACCATACTTTCTTCCAGCAAAATGAGTTCATTAATGCCACCATCAGTGGCGGACCCAGGAATTTCCGACTGGTGAGTCACAATCGATAATCAAATATGTAAAAAATTTTTTTTACCAAACAACCAAATAATAGTACTAAAAAATACATCCAAATATTCAAACAATACAAAATACAACCAATAGGCAGCATCATTTTCCACACTATACTCAAGCCAAGTCCAAGTACCAAATCACTTAGCACAAAAGCTGACGGTTTTTGCCAAAAATAGAAGTTTGAGGAAATACAAAGTCTTTGGGCTGACAAGGCTTTCTTTGAATGTAAATTCTTCTCACTAAATCTCTATCATCTTTATGAAATTCACTCATCTTTCTCCTCTTTCCTGGATCTTGTGGAAGATTAGCAAATTCATGTTCACTTAATCTTTCATCAAAGATTGGGGCATTAGGAGAACATTGGCCTTGTTCATTTTGAGGGGAATTTTAAGTTGAATAATGAGATGGAGATGAATGTTGTTCACTTTCTTGAGGTTGAGATATAGTTTGTTCATTTTGTGTTGGATGTGGAAGAGAAGTTGGAGTAGGATTCTTTTTAGCAAAAAAAGCTAGTAATGTTTTGCATTTCATTTGGAATGCGTTTTCTCTTCATTCTGAAATTACAAGACTAAAATTAACAAACTAATAACTAACAAGCTAATAAACACCCTAACTACTGTTCTCCGTGTAATAACAGTTTAAACAATTTACAGCAACAATCACAAGAAAAAACTTAAGAATGATTTAAGGTTTATGTAACCACAATTCAGACACAATGTTTTACAATTCCTGAATCCGCCTAGTCTATACGGAACTTCCATCCGAATATGCGACTAGCACCACTAACCAGTCCACACTGTAATCTAATTATAAATTTATAATCCTCCTTACACTAATAGCTGTCTTATACAATGTCTGGCATCACATAAACTAATAAGTTCAATTTAACAGTCAAAACACAAATAATGCAAATTCAATGAACATTCATCGTATATACTAATTTTAAGCAACAAGTAATGCAAATTTGATCAGAAATTCACAAAAAAAAAAAAAGAATAAATTGATGATTACCTTGCCAGACGGCAGACGCTGATTGAGGCGAGTAGGCGAAGCAGCAGGGCCAGCACTGGAGGCGACGAGGCGTGAGCCGATGAGCGAAGAGGAAGCGTTAACTACAAATCAACCAAAGTTTAAAACCAAAGTTTAATAAAATTAACTAATTAGACTGAATTAAATTGAAGATAAGAAATTAAAAATAAAAATTAGAAATCAACTTACTAGTGAATTAGCAATTGCGTCGAAGCGATTGCGAAGAGGCGAAGAGCAGTGACCACGGAGACGGAGCAGGAAAGCATCAAGCAGGCAAGCAGCAGAGGCAGAGCAGGCGACTGGAGGGTGGCTGGGTGGAGGCAGTCTGGTGAAGATGAAGCGAAGAGGAAGTCAAGAGGCGAAGAGGGAAGAGCAGCTGAGGAGGCAGTGGGCTAGGGCTTGAGGAAGTGTCGGGACCTGAAGTTAGATTTTTTTTTTTTTTATTTTTTATTTTTTAAAAAAAAAAACTTAAAATTTTTTTTGGGCTCTGGTGAGTCATTTGACCCACCAGGCACAAGGCCCAGTCCGCCACTGGCCACCATCATCATGCTGCTTGAGCTTCCTTCACTTTCCTATATCGATAGAGAACTTCATGTCTGATTAAACTCGTTCGATTCTAGTATCATGATGTTTATTAACTGTGGATATATTGGCCAAGTCCCCTATTTTAAAACAAATATGGTCAATAGACAGATTGAAAGGGGTCTGCAATTATAGACAACCTAAATTACATAGTAGTTCTGTAGATTATTTTTTGTTCCACCACTTTATACAACCCTTTGCAAGAAGAATACATATGCATTAAAAGTCATTTAACAAAAATATTATTTCTGCCAAATATTTTTATGTTATTTTTAATCAAAAACGAATACATTCATTGCTATTTTACGTAAAATCCAAAGCATCTATCTTCACCATGCATTTGCGTTGGACTAGTCTGAAGTTGAACACACATTTGTATCACAAACCATTATATATTAATTAAATACAAGGTAAAATAGCATGATTATCATGAAGATGACACAGGAACATAATAAAAATTAACACACTTAAGATGAAAAAGAAACTAAATCAACAAAAATACAGTATAGAAAAGGTACCTCAGCAGGTTCATTAGGCAGCTCGGCTGCAGGGTAAGGTGAACTTTCGGTAGGAACATAACTCTCAACAAGAAAACAAACGGATCTTCAAATGCTACAAGTGGTTCCATTGACTATTGATCAAGCAAGCCCTAGCATCCGAGGATAAGAACGAGTAAAAAAAGACTTCGCCAGCCTTTGTGAACCCGATCAGCTGCTTAATATCCCTAAGGTTCAAAGTCTTCAAACCATATGGCAAATGAACAGAAACCAACTTTCCAGGATGTTTCATAATCTCAATAAGCATAACCACCTAGAGACATTGAATTGAACTTGGATAAGCACCCTCCCATCACACATAACTCATCGCTAGATCGATGAATTATTCCCAAATGAGGGAAGAACTCAAATGTCTCCCGAACCAAATTGAAGGCAATAATTTGGCCACTACCAACACTCCAATACAAAGTCTCATTAGCTAATTTAGGTCGACCAGTAATCAAAACACGTTTCCTCTAAGCCATATTCAAGTTTGGACCAAATGTTGGACTTAAGTGAATAAACATGAATCATGTTAACTTCTCCATTAAAATGTGGGATTATCCTAACTACTTTATAGTCGTCAACTGATGATACTTACCCAAAACCCCAAATAGTTAGGGGTTTTGGCCCGCATAATTTCCAAATGATCAAAATCACCAGGGTAGAATTTGTGAGATTGGTTAGTTTTAGGGTTATATAAATAGAAGTATCTTCCAATTTTTCCACTTAAACAAACCAACCCATTTGAAGACCCAACCAATTGAATTTCATCATCCTCAAAATTCTGTATCTTCATAAATCAAAATTAAAATTTAATTCAACCAAACCATCTTTCAGCAACTTCATCATTATCAACATTTTCATCATCATCAACATTTTCATCATTATCATAATAAAGATTAGAGCAAGGGAAAAGGTAAAAAGAATCACCAGATTGAAATAAAGAGAGATTCAACAGGGGTAAAAGGGTCACTAAAAACAGATTTATTGAAGTGATCAAGGATATAATTTTGGTTGTGAAATGGTAGAATACCATTCCTTTGAAACTAACTTACATTGAGTTAAGGATTTGATGGGAAGGCGAGGAAGGATGTGCTGAGTAATGAGTTCATCAGGAAGATACCTTTCTTCAGCATCTTCTCTAGCACGCTTGCCATCGCCATTAATGTCTTCCATTTATAAGCTTTTACTCTCAGTTAAGCTTCTTTGTGATGGTGGTAACTCACTAACTCTCTCCGGGTTTATGGTTTGTCGCCTTTTATTACGTAGTAGATAAATGTAGTTGAGGAAATGAATTGAATCAATTAATGAAGTAAAAAAACCCCTCTTTTTTAATTGAATCTCTACCCTTCAGATAAAATTTAAGTCAAACTTTAAAAATTGACCATGTAAACTCATTAGTATAATTATGTGAGACATTGTTAAAAATTGTTACGTGCATAGACATATATACGTTTTAACTATGCATTAGACATCGTGAATTCGTGATAAGTCTGAAAGAGTAAATAAATTAGGACAAAAGGGGAGTACTCCGTATTTCATTAGTCCTAAAAGATTACCCAAAATCCTACGAGAGTCGGTGAAATCAGACCAATGACCTAAGTTGACTTAAATTTGCTTTTAAGTAAATAGAAGAAAATAATGAGATACACCCAATGAATTAAGTAGTTGAATCTTTTGAGTGTAAGTTTTAAATTTTTCTTAAGAAATTTTTTTTCAAAAATCAGATTAATAACTTCACCATTAAATGCTACCTAAAGACTTTATCAAAAAATTAATACAAAGGAAAAAAAAAATTGCTACCTATGTTAAACATAATATAACTATGGGATGAAAGTGAAGAGAAGGAATAGTCACAAAATGCGTAACACATTACACAGACATAGCATATTACTATAGTAGCATGGAAGCTTGCTTGATTATGAACTGCTAGTAATTCACATCAGAATAAAATTTACATTTCTTGAGTGATCATCACATTCATAGCTTACTAATATAACAAAGAGTGGAGGCCAACGGCATAAGCATAAGTCACAGATTTCAAAAGTTACAAGTTGTAGCATTATCCTTTACCAATTTATGGATCATGGCATAACAAAATGTTACATATAGACTATGAGTAATAAACTAGCAAAAACAGAGGTAGCATAAATCAGAGTTTTGCATCTTAGCACCATACTTTCTTCCATCAAAATGTGTTCATGCCACCATCATCATGCTGCTTAAGCTTCCTTCACGCTCCTATATCGATGGAGAACTTCATGTCTTATTATATGTCTGCTTCTAGTATCATGATATGTGGTAACTGTGGATATATTGGCCAAGTCCCCTATTTTTTAAACAAATATGATCAATAGACAGATTCAAAAGGGTCTGCAATTATGCACAATCTAAATACATAGTAGTTCTGTAGATTTTGTTTTTGTTCCACCACTTTATACAGCCCTTTGCAAGAAGAAAACATGTATGCATTTAAAGTAATTTAACAAAAATATTAAGTCTGCCAAATATTTTTTTTTGTTAGTTTGATCAAAGGAATACATTCAATGCTATTATATAAAAATCCAGAGCATCTATCTTCACACTACATTTGTGTTGGACTAGTCTGAACACACATTTGTATCATAAACCATTATATTAATTAAATACAAGGTAAAATAGCATGATTATCATGAAGATGACACAGGAATATCAATTTAATCAAATTAATACACTTAAGATGAAAGAACTAAATCAAACAATAATACAGTATAGAAAAGGTACCTCAGCAGGTTCATTAGGCAGCTCGGCTGCAGGATGAGGTGACCTTTCGGTAGGAACATAACTCTCAACAAGAAACAAACGATCATCAAGCGTTACATGTGTTTCCATCGACCATAGATCAAGCCAGCCTAGCATCCCAGGATTAGAATGAGTAAAAAAGACTTCGCCAGTCTTTGTAAACCCGATCAGCTGCTTAATATCCCTAAGGTTCAAACTATATGGAAAACGAACAGGAACCAGCTTTCCAGGATGTTTCATGATCTCAATAAGCACACCACCTAAAGACATTGAACTGAACTTGGATAAGCACCCTCCCATCACACATAACGCACTGCTAGATCGATCAATTATTCCCAAATGAGGGAAGAACTCGAATGTCTCCCGAGCCAAATCAAAGGCAAGAATTTGACCTCTACCAACAATCCAATACAAAGTCTCGTTAGCTAATTTAGGTTGACCAGTAATTAAAACACGTTCCTCAAAAACCCATTCAAGTTTGGACCAAATGTTGGACCTAAGTGAATAAATATGAACCATATTAACTTCTCCATTAAAATGTGGGATTATCCTGACTACTTTATAATCGTCAACTGATGATACATACCCAAAACCCCAAACAGTTAGGGGTTTTGGCCCATAAGATTTCCAATAATCAAAATCACCAGGGTAGAATTTGTGGGATTGGTTAGTTTTAGGGTTATATAAATAGAAGTATCTTCCAATTTTTCCACTTAAACAAATCAACCCATTTGAAGATCCAACTAATTCAATTTCATCACCCTCAAATTCTAGATCTTCATAATCAAAATTAACATTTAATTCAACCAAATTTTCTTCACCAACTTCATCATTTTCACCATCATCAACATTTTCATCATTATCAACATTTTCACCATCATCAACATTTTCATCATCATCAGTATTTTCATCAATATTACAATGGAAAAGGAAAAAAAAATCACCAGATTGAATAAAGAGATATTCAACAGGGGTAAAAGGGTCACTAAAAACAGATTTATTGAAGTGATCAAGGATATAATTTGGTTCTGAAATGGTAGAATTCCATTCCTTTGAAACTAACTTGCATCGAGTTAAGGATTTGATGGGAAGCCATGGAAGGATTTCTTGAGTAATGAGTTCATCAGGAAAATACCTTTCTTCAGCATCTTCTCTAGCACGCTTGCCATCGCCATTAATGTCTTCCATTTCTAAGCTTTTACTCTCAATTAAGCTTGTTTGGGAAGATGGTTAGTTGGTTACTCTCTTTCGAGGTTTTTGATTTGTCCCCTTTTATTAGACAAATGTAGTTGAGGAAATGAATTGAATCAATTAATGAAGTAGTCCGTAAAGTAGAATTTTTAAAAGCACCTCTTTTTTAATTGAAACGCTGCCCTATAGATAAAATTTTAAAATAGATAAAATTGATCGCATTAACTCATTAATATAATTACGTGATACCTTGTTTAAAAATTGACTTTTAAAATCCTTACGTGCATGTAATAGAGATATCTCTTTTAAATGCGCTTTAGACACCATGATGAGTCAAAAGGAGTAAGAGTGGGGGATAGCTCAAGTGGTTAAAGTTTCCCTCTCTATTTTAGAAAATCCTGAGATCGATTCTAACCCCCGTCCATATGACTCTCTAAACACTAAAAAATAAGTCAAAGGGAGTAAATAAATTAGGATTGGAGGAAGGAGTACTTTGTATTTCAGCTGTCCTAAAAGATTGTCCAAAATCCTACGAGGGTTGGTCAAACCTGACCAATGACCCAAGTTGACTTAAATTTGCTTTAAAGTAAAAAATATATAAATAAATACACCCAATTAATTAAGTAATTTTTTCTTAAGAAAAAAAGTTCCAAAAATAAGATTCATAACTTCACCATTAAATACTACCTAAAGAATTTATCCAAAAAAAAAAAACCTACAGAAGGTTGTTTGTAAACATAATTAACTATAGAGATGAAAGTGAAGAGAAGGAATAGTCACAAAATGCGTAACACATACTAGATTTGGACCGTAATACATTACACAGACATAGCATATTACTATAGTAGCATGGAAGCTTGCCTGATTATGAACTGTTAGTAATTCACATAGATCAGCATAAATTTACACCCTTTCATTGATTATCACATTCATAGCATACTAACATAACAAAGAGTTCTGGAGGTCAACGGCATAGCAAAAGTTACAGATTTGGAAAGTTACTACTCGTAACACTAGCACTTCCCTAATGAATCATGTCATACCAAAATGTTACATATAAGGCTAGGGGGTTCTTGTGGTTGATATACTGGCCAAGTCCCCATTGTCACTGTTTTCTTCCGTTGTAAGTAATAAAGTCAGGTCGTTTGTAAAGATGGATACTCTCATACGCATATTCTCTCCGGTTTTTATGGTTTGTCACCTTTTTATTGTACTGTAGTTAAAGTCACTTAGGGTCTGTTCTCTTACGTTGAAATTCAGTTCAGTTTAGCTCAATTCAGTTCAGCTCCTAATTTCCCTTCTCTTATAAATATTCATTTCAGTTCATTTCAGCTCAGTTCAATTCAGCTCATTTCAGTTCACCTGAGTTCAGTCAATGAGAACAGGCCCTTAGTGCAAATTTAGGATCGATTTCTTTTTTATTTGTTGACCTTTGTGGTCTTCTTTTCTTCACTTTAGTCAAAATGCTTGTGCCCCAAGTCTAACAATAAATTGATGTACGTCTCATCACTATAAATTACTGTAGTTTATTTTATTTTATTTTATTATTTTTTTATATATATTTTTACAGCTATAAATTGTTGTAGTTAGGTGAATTAAATGACAGAGTACAACTTTATTTGCTATGGAGTATTAATTTATCTTTGAAGGAAATGAGAGATTAATTGGCCAAGTGTGACCTTAAATCATTATTATGAAATTAGAGTGGATTTATTGGAGTTAAACCAAAAAAGAGTTGAGGAGTAAATTGGTGCAGCCTTAAATCAATATTATATACTCCCTTAACCAAAAGCTAAAACTGATGGTTGAGGCCCAGGAATATTTTTATACTCTATCACGTCTCCTCACATGAGAGTCCGTTGGGCTAGAAGTGTGGATGTTGCATGGGCCTTCCTCATACCTTGCACTTAATATTCCACTTGAAAGTGGGAGGGCAATTAGTATTATGTGCACCATGGTGCACCTAGAAATAGGTGCACCACTCCTATACTTTTGAACATTTAGTGAAATTTTTTTTGAACATTTTACAAAAATATGAACATCTAGTAAAAAAATATGAACACGTCACAAAAAATGAACATAAACATGCAATTTTTATGTTCATATTTTATAAAGAAATGTTCATTTTGTATACAGTAAATGTTCAGTTTATATTACAAAACTATTGAATTATTACGAGTCAGACAAACTTCTTTCAAAATTTGTTTGACTTGCAATAATTCAAAATTTGTGATTGTTCATATTTTTTTACTAAAGGTTCAAAATTTGTTATTGTTCATATTTTTTTACTAAATGTTCAAAAGTATATGTGTGGTGCATTGCGATTGTTCAGATTTTTTTTACTAAATGTTAAAAATTTGCGATGTTCATATTTTTTTTACTAAATGTTCAAAATTCGTGATTGTTCAGATTTTTTTTACTAAATGTTCAAAAGTATAGGTGTGATGCATTGCGATTGTTCGGATTTTTTAACTAAATGTTCAAAATTTGTGATGTTCAGATATTTTTACGACATGTTCAAAATTTGCAATTATTCAGTTTTTTTACTAAATGTTCAAAAGTATAGGCGTGGTGCACCTATTTCCAGGTGCACCATGGTGCATCTTAAAATTTGCGGTGGGAGGGTGGATGAGATTCGAACCCGTGACCTTTGTGTCACGCTGACTCCGATACCATATTATAGATTATAAAACATATTCTTGGGTCTCAACCATCAGTTTAAGCTTTTGGTTGAGATGGTCCATTAACAGAGACATTAGATGTTTAAAAGGGGCATCATAGTCTTTTAATTAATTATTTATTTTAATTCAATAATTTTTAACGGTGTTAGTCACGGTTGTGAAAAATAAATATATATACACAAACTGATACTAGTTGGTTGGTATTTTGGAAATTAGTTTTTAAACAAACTTAATGACAATTTATTTTAATTTTGACAATAATGCGCAAAATTGCGCTTAGTTCTATAATTGAGTCACTTTTTTTTTTTTTTTTTTTAAATGTTGAAATTGAGATTCATTACTTCACCCTAACTACCTAATCAAGTAATCAGTTGGACAACATGTTTAAAAATATGGTGATGCCATTATAAATAACAAGATGATACTTTAGAATGCTAAAATCATCAATCAATAACTTAATACTAAAAGCGAAACCAATGATGATATATGTCATTCATTGGTTAAAATTTTTCCCTCCACTTTTATCTTTCCTTTTTTCGTGAAAAATATTTATAGCTTATAATAATATTTACTTTCCATTTTGGCGATAATATTTTTCCATACGCACTCAAACGAAATATTTTTATATATATATATTTTACAGTAATTATTTTTCTATTATTTTAGTATAACTAGGTTATAACCCGTGCGATGCACGGTTTATATAAAACCTATTTTTAATTTGCATATTTTAAAAATAAATCGCTATCATACAATATACATACTAAATGAATATAAAGAATTACGTACATTTTGTAATTTAAAATCTTTTATTTTCATCAAAATTTTGATATTGCATCTGTTCAACGCCGTTTAAGTCATAGTTTAATATAGGAGGTCATTTATTAGTGTGCTATTTGAAATTGTTTTAATTTCCCACGATACATTGATAGGTTTTAGTTGTAAGGTGGAAATTTCTAATATTTAAATTTCATATATGTTAAATATGATAGCTCTACAAAAAAAATTAAAAAAATTAAAAAAAAAATTGACATCATCATTGCATTTAGGCATGAAATTTTTTATTAAAAGAAAAACACGTGGGCAGTGGTGACGTCAACATCTTCTATTTTAGTAATAGTTAATAAATTTCGTATATTACCTTATACATAGTATATATTTGTTTATTATAAAACATAACTATTAAAAAATTTAAAAAAGATATGTTAAAATATTTCATAAAATGCATATGGAATATACTTTGTATATAGTTGTCAAGTTGAAAGTTAAATATTATAGGATATAATAATCATAAAGATCTATAAGGAAAAAAAAAGGGAAAGTAAAAATGGCAGGAATATTTTTAATAAAAACATGACAAGTGTCATGTTGGATTCGCCATTAGTATTATGTTATTGATTGATGATTGTTATATTAATGTTGTAATTCACTATGTAATTTATTAAAATCCGTGCAAATGCACGGGACTTTAACTAGTATACAAATAAACACAATTACACATTACACCGGACAAACAATTATGGAAATTTGAACCTGATGAACTCAATAGTAATCATAAGATTCTAAGCTTTACTAGCATGTCTAACTAATCTAAGAGGTAGCATAAAGTTATGGAGGCTAACCGCATTGCAAAAGTTACAGATTACGAAAGTTACAAGTTGTAGCATTAGCATTTAGCAGTTGATGGATCATGGCATAAACAAAAAGTTACATATAGACTAATAAATCTGAGTTTTTCATGTTAGCACCAAACTTTCTTCCATCAAAATTAGTTCATGCTACCATCATTACGCTGCTTGAGCTTCCTTCACTTGCCTAGATCGATATAGAACTTCATGTTTGATTAAACTAGAGATAGTTCAACTTTATCTAGATGACTTATTTTTTTTTTCTAAGGTTGCCCACCCGGTTCACTCGGAGCTTAGCTCCGACTACATCCGGATCCGACTCGGGTAGCACACCTGACTTACGGTGGGTGAGTCTCCCAACAAGAGTTTCTGCATACGGTGAGGCTCGAACCCGAGACCTCCCTTAAGCGACATCAAGTTGCTTACCACTTGAGGCAACTCTTGTTGGTTTTATCTAGATGACTTAGATCGACTATATATGTTGTTCGGACCAGGAGGATTCTCCGGTTGGACATCTTCTAGCCAATGCGATAAACCCTAGGCCACGGATCCGGTAGATGATATACCGGCCAAGTCCCCTATATTAAAACAAAGATGATCAATAGACATTCATAAGGATGTGCAATTATTCAATGTCTCACCACTTGAAAATACGAAAATTACTCAAACAAATAAAACATAGAATGTACCTCTGGTGGTTCATTGGGTAATTCAGCAGCAGGATGAGGTGATCTTTGGGTAGGAGTATGAATATCAATATGAATCTCCCGAGCATCGAAGGTTGCAAGTGTTTTCTTAGAGCGTTGATCAAGCAAGCCTAACACCCCTGGGTAATTCCGAGTGTAAAACACTTTGCCAGTCTTAGTGAACCCGACGAATTCTCTGCAATCCTTGACATCCAAATCACATGAAAATGCAACAGAATCCACCCTTCCAGGATGTTTCAAAATCTCAAATTTCAATTCATTTTCAGAATATGAACTACATTTCGATAAGCACCCTCCCATGACACACAACACATTGCTCCGATGCCAAACGATTGCCAAATAAGGGAAGAATTCGAATGTGTCTCGGACCAAATCGAAGGCGAGGCTTCGGCCTCAAATCAAACCCCAATACAAAGTCTCATTAACTAAATATGCTCGACCTGTAATCGTATCATCTATCTGAATACAACATTCAACTTTGGACCAAATGTTGGACTTTAGTGAATAAACATGAGCAATGCAAAATCGTCTATTCTGATATGATAAAATTATCCTGACTACTTTAAAGTCATCAATAGATGATACATACCCAAAACCCCAGAAAGTAGTGGGGCCACTTGTACAAGAATTCCAGAAATTAAAGTCACCAGGGTAGAATTTGTGAGATTGGTTAGTAATAGGGTTATATAAATAGAAATATCTTGCATTATTTTCACCTAAACAGACCAACCCATTTGAAGATCCAACCAATTCAATTTCCCCCACTATATTCATATTATAAAGCATACCCTCCCCTTCTAAATTAGGATTTAATCGAACCATATTGTTTTCAGTATCATCAATATTAAGATTAATACTAAAGTAAAGATAAAAATCATGATGAGATTGAATAAAGACGGACTCAAGAGATATGATATGATCAAGGATGAAATTGACGTTACGACCCCATTGCTTTGAAACTAGCTTACATCGGATTAAAGATTTGATGGGAAGGCGTGGAAGGATTTGCTGAGCTATGATTTCATCTGGAAGATGTTTTTTGACATTGCTATTCTTGCGTTTCTTCAACATTTCCTCTAGTATTCTTAACAACTTCTCCATTTTCTAACCTCTTTTACTCTCTCTCTCTCTCTCTCTGGTTTATGGTTGAAGTTTGAAAAAATGAAGTTGAATGCAACTTTAAATAGCACCGACCTTGGCGCACATCATTAACATCATAAATGCTGTTTGGTGGGGGTTAAAATGTGGCGTTTGACTGTTTGAGGCAAGTTTGCACCTAGTTTCAAAAAAAAAAAAAAAAACAAATACAGACGTTTTTTTTTTTATTTGAAGAGAGCTAAAAAAGAAACTTTAAAAAAGTTGAATGGGTTACAAAATTATCCATCGATCAAACCATTGCAACTAATTTGAACAAGGAAAGATAAACTTAACAAAAAAAATAAAAATAGAAAATCATAAAATCAAATGTTATTGGATACTGATGTAGCAAATACACAGTCTTTTTTTTAGTTTCTTTCAAAAAAAAAAAAAAAAAATTCTCATACATTTTTTTAGTTGTATTTAATGTTTTGGATTAGGGTCCGTTCACATTTACTGAACTAAATTGAATTAATTACAGCTGAACTGAACTCAATATTTTATAAGAGAATAAAATTAGAAACTGAACTAAGGGCCTGTTCATATTTACTTATTTTCAGTTCAGTTCAGTTCAGCTCTAATCAGTTCAGATTCAGTTCAGCTCCAATCACTTCAGTTCAGTTCAGCTCAGTTTAGTTCAGCTCCAATCAGTTCAGTTCAGCTCCAATCAGTTCACTTTAGTTCAGTTCAGCTCAATTCAGTAAATATGAACAAGCCCTAAATTGAACTGAAATTAAGCTGAAGTTAACAGGCCCTTAGACTAGGGGTGTGTTTTTAATAAAACACTTTATTATCAATAATACTCGTATCATTAATTAATTAGAGGTACTTTATAAATTTTGATATTTATAAAACAATTACTAAAAACAAAACAAACAATACCCCACACGATTGTAATTTTTTTTTTACACCTATGCTATGTGTCTCGCTTTTTTTTAGTTCCTTTTTTTGAGTTAGCCCAATACAAAGTTCTAGTTATGGTTTGGGAATAAAAATTTTACCCTCACAACTCGTACCTTCTAACTCAACACTTTTCTTTCTCACAACTCGGTAACTCCTACTTCGTATTAACCAAATTTTTAAAAAAGTAAACTTTTTTTTTTGTTTTTTGAAACTCAACTCTTTAAAACAATTAAAGTTAGTTAAAGAAAATGAAGAAAAATAGTAATGTACGTTAATAAGGAGTAGAGTTTGAGTTATTTATGAGACTTTAGTGACTTGCAACATGAAGTGAATAAAATACGGAGTAATAAACAAGCCAGGGGCTTAGACTCGACTTCAACACTTCAAGTAGTCAAGTCTGTTTTTTCAAAATGTCTCTTTTAATTGAATTACTCAAATTGCTTGTGCCCCAAAGTCTATCCGTAGTACAAAACGTGTAGAAATTTTCACCTCATCACTATAACTTGCTTTAATTAGGTGAAAATTTTGGTTTTGGGATATAGGAGTAAACATTACTCTCACTAGTCACAACTCAACAATCCATACATCTAACTCAAAAAAAATGCTTAGTTACTCAAACTGCTTGTGCCCCTAGTCTAGCTGGTGTACACTACAAATTTTCTCATCATCTCTAATTTGGTCTCAGCACTACGGAGTATAAATTAGTTGGGATTATTATTTACAAATTTTCTCTTTTTTTTTTTATTAGGTATATCTTGTTATATTACCTCTGATTTTTTTAAGTTGTAACTTTAAATTATTATTTGAGAAATATATAAAATATTTCAAAGTTACAACTAAAAAAAATTGGAGGTAGTATTTTTTATTTGCTTTTAAAGCAAATTTTAGTCAACTTGAGTCATTGATTGTATTTGACTTATTGTAGGATTACGGACAATCTTTTAGGAATGATGGAATATTCTTACCTTTCGTCCCAATCAATTTTTTCCTTCTCACTAATTATGATCTCTAAAACACGTAAAAATTATTAAATTTTACTCAATATAATACAACAAGAGAAATTCAACAAGTTCTCACATAGTCACATAATTATAATATGGAGTTGGTAGCAAGAATTAATGATCAATTTTTAATTTTTGACTTTATTAGCTAATACAAAGGGCAAATAAATAGGAATGGAGTGAGATAGTGAGAGTGTTTCAATTAAAACAGATAGGTATCTTTTAAATTTGTTCTGTAGGCGGGCCTGTTCACTTATGTTAAAATTCAGTTCTGCTCAGTTCAGTTCAGTTCAGCTCCTAATTTCTTTCTCTTATAAAATATTCATTTCAGTTCAGTTCAACTCAATTCAGTTCAGTTCAGCTGAGTTCAGTCAATGAGAATAAACCCTTATTATCATATACTTCGATGTATTTATACTCAACTTTAAAGGTCATTTTACCAACTTAATATCCTAGAAATTAATTCTAAATTTGATCATATAGCCCGTGGTTCTTTGTCAAGCGTAGTGGTAAACTAGTAATTAAGTCACACACAATTTGACCCATTTTTAAATTTCAACTATGGAAATATGGAAATTTCAACCATGGAAAACATGGAAAACTAGAAATTAAGTCACACACGATTTGACCCATTCATATTTTATTGTACTACCTCCGTTACAGGTTATGTGCAACGATTAGACATTTTTCCTCTCTGCTTTAAATCAAATCGTTGCACATAATCTGTAACGGAGGTAGTACATTGGAACATTTCATTAGTCCTACAGAGTAAAAAATTTAAACTTGGATGTAGATTATGCGTCCGGATCCTCTAGAGTTGGAGGAAACTCTACCATATAGAGTTGGGCTTATCACAGCCCTCCATATATATCAACGGTTGATAGACTTCAACCCTCCACTAACTTTATTAAAATATTAAAAAAAAAAAAGAAAAAAAAAGAAAGGCAATTAGCAGTTACCAAAGTAGGCGCCTAAATTTCTTAGCTGCTTCTTTTCCCACCAAATATTCATCTTATTTTCCCACCAAAATATTTACTGCTATGATCGTAATCTTCACGCCATTGTTAAGCAATTTTTTTTATTTGCTTCCTCATATTTTAAATCTATAAGTATACCCATTAAAAAAATTAGTGCAACAATCATCTACCATTAACAATAATTCAAGGCGCAACATTTGATCAAGAAGTCTACAATTTGTGATTTCGTATATGCAAGTAAGATGAAATTGCTCCAATATATGCCCTATTTTAATTTATATTTCAATTGAAAACATCAGTTTTTTGATATCTTTTTTATTTTTACACTTTAAATTATTTATAATTTGATTGATGATCTTTAATGATTCATACTAATAGCTACAATAAAATTTATTTGTCTTAGAATGGCCGATAGTAACGACGAAGTAGAAAATTGGGTTCCTCGGGTAGGCATGGAATTTGATTCGGTGGAGGATGCTTGGAATTTTTGGTTACAATATGGAGGGAAGATGGGATTTAACGTTCGTAAGCATTATGAGAACAGGAGCAAGGATGGACAGATAACTTCTAGGAGATTTGTTTGTTCAAAAGAGGGTTTTCGTCAACCTGACAAGCGAGACCACTTGACAACCAATTCTCGAGCTGAAAGAAGAACCGGATGCAAGGTCCGCATTGGTATTATATTAATTAGATTTACAGGGAAATATCAAGTTCATGATTTTGTATCCGAACACAATCATGTACTTCATCCACCGGAAACTAGCCACTTGTTGTCGTCACAGAGAAAAATTTCTGAAATACAAGCGATTGAAATTGAACTTGCGGATGATTTTGGAATTCGTCCTAGAGCAGATCATGAGTTCATTGGTGCTCATGTGGGTGGATCTTCCAATCTTGGTTACACTCATCGAGACCATAAAAATTATCTACGAAGTAAGCGCCAAAGAGATATGATGTATGGGGAAGCAGGAAGTTTATTAAAATACTTTCACTTACAAACGGTGGAGAACCCTTCATTCCAATATTCAATTCAATTGGATTGTGAAGAGCAAATAACAAACATATTTTGGGTTGATGCAAAAATGCTTATTGATTATGCTTTATTTGGAGATGTAGTTGCCTTTGATACTACCTTTGGTACAAATAAAGAGCATAGACCACTTGGTGTATTTGTTGGTTTTAACCATTTCAGGGAGACAACAGTTTTTGGTGCAGCTCTTTTATACGACGAAACGGTTGAATCTTTTAAATGGTTGTTCGAAACATTTCTAGCAACACATGGCAACAAGAAGCCAAAGACTATTTTCACTGACCAAGATATTGCTATGGGAAAGGCCATTTTAGAGGTGATACCTGATGTGTGGCATGGATTATGTACTTGGCATATTACAGAAAATGCAACCAAGCACATATTACGTGATGGATTAGATGTTCTTCGTGCATTCAAAGCCTGTATGTATGATTACAAAGAAGAAGCGGAGTTCGAAAAGGCATTCGAAGCATTGCGTGGCAAAGTCACCAAAGGTACTTGGTTAGATAGTATATATGCTTTGAAAAGAAAATGGGCAGAATGTTACATGACAAATGTGTTTTCTCTAGGGATGCGAAGTACTCAGTTAAGTGAAAGCTTTAATAAAGACTTAAAAGACTATCTAAAATGCAACATGGATATAATACGGTTTTTTAAACAATTTGAGAGAGTTCTTGGATTAAAGTGTCAAAACGAGTTGAACAATGAGTTTGATTCAAGAGAAAAACTACCAAGAATTAAGATGAAGAGAACGCCTTTACTTAGGCAAGTTAGCCAAATATATACTCCTAATATTTTTGAAGCATTTCAAGATGAATATGAGTGGTCAACAGCGGCTTATATTAAGCCATGTGTTGAAGGTCAACTTACCAATGAATATAGAGTTGTAATTTCCGACCCTGAGAATGACAATTGTTTTGGAAAAGAGTATCAACTATTGGATGATCCTTCGACCAAAACTGTTTCATGTAGTTGCAAAATGTTTGAAAGATTGGGGTTATTATGTTCTCATGCATTAAAGGTTCTTGATACTATGAACATTAAATTAGTTCCTGAGAAATATATTTTAAAACGTTGGACTAAAGAATCTAGGAGTGAATTTGTGGAAGATATTTCTGGAAGGGCTATTCTTGAGGACCCTCGGTTGGATGCTACTCGTAGATATAAATCATTGTGTCAAAAATTAGTGAAAGTTGCTTCGAGAGCCTCTAATTTTGAAGAATCATCATCACTTTTAGAGAATGGGTTAAATAATTTGATTTCTGAGGTTGATAAGTTATTTATGAGCCTTGCTATCGAAAAGGGTAGAGCTTCTTCTGATGTGAATTCAAGTGAACAACTACAAGCATGTGTTTCTAACAATATTACTTTGAAACCAAAAGAGGGGAAAAAAGGAGGAAAGCGAAGACAAAATTGGACTGGAAAATTTCATGATGCAAGTACTCAAGTCTCTCGGTCAAAGCAGACAAAACATAACAAGAAGAAAGTGCCAAATCATCCAAATTCAGAAAATATACCACCACAGGTAAGCCGTAATCATAACTTCATAAAATAGTTTACATTAAATTGAACTTTTTTTAATTTTCTTTTGTTTGTCTTTTTATTTCTTATTTGTAATTTTACAGCAAGGAGAAATTTATACTATGCCACTTGAGATTAATTATGATAATCTTGAAGTCCCCTGGAGCAATTATACACAAGTGTTGTTGGTAAAACATCATTAAACAATTTAACTTTATATTTGTTGTACTCTGTCACTGTCTCACTGAATTGTTTGTAACAGGGTGAATGTTATGGAAGTGAAGCTTCATCTTATGATAACATATGGAAAGAGGTCTCATTTCAAACTCAGGTGTATGTTGTAAGTAATATAATTTGCATTTGGAAGTAATACCTTATACTAATACATCTTCAATGACTTTTATAGGCTATGAATGTACCAAATTCTAGTCTTGAGCTCAATCCTCAGACCGATTTTAGCAACATGTCAAATGTAGACCAACGAGGTATATTAAATGTTATATAATTCCTATAATACTTAGGTAGTACAAGCTGTGTGTGAGTTCACATAGTGACATTTTTTTTACATGGATGTAGCAGGTATGTGATGCTTTAGGTCCTTCTTGGTTGCTTTACAAGTTGAAGCTCATCATGGTGCAAGTTTGATGAAGAAAGAGTCATGTTTTTTTATTCTATGTAATCATATGCTCATTTATCCATGGTAAATATTTCGACAATTTTTTTTCCGGGCGAAAAAAAAGTCAAAAATATCAAAATTCACGCGTTTTGAGATATTTTGGAAGATTCAGGGCCTGGTGTCGAAAAGTCTTGAAATTCTAGGAGATACATCTCGGGGTCATATAATGTCGTTTGAAATCGTATATGATCATTATATGTTGTCATAAATGTTCGTGGTAGGCATGAGTTAATGAAATCGGTGCAAATTGTAAACTAGTAAATTGGCCATTTAAAGGCAATTTGGAAGGTTCCACCCATCCAATTGGCCTCCCGAAGGATATTAGGAACCATGGTAAACATTTCGGCAATTTTTATTTTCGAGCGAAAAAAAAAGTCAAAAAATTCCAAAATTAAAGTCTAAGATCCGTGCTTGTTGAGAAATTTTTGAGATTTCGAGGCCCGTTGTTGAAAAGCCTTGAAATTTTAAGATTACATCTCGGGGCCATATAATGTCGTTTGGAACCATATATGATCATTATATGTTTTCATAAATGTTTGTGGTAAGCTTGAGTTAAAATTGAAGGCTAATATCAACGTTTTTTTTTGAAATTTTGGAGGTTTCGATACCCGGTATCGAAAAGACTAGAGATTTTTGGGGATATATCTTGGGGTCTTATAATGTTGTTTGGAACCATTTATGATCATTATTTGTTGTTGTCAGAAATGTTCGTGGTAGGATTGAGTTAATGAAATCGGTGCAAGATATAAACCGGTAAATTGGTCATTTAGAGGCAAATTGGCGGTTCCATTTACCTAATTTGAATACCAGAGGGTATTAGGAACTATGGTAAAAATTTCGACAATTTTTATTTTCGGGCGAAAAACAGTTAAAAAATTCCAAAATTAAAGGCTAATATCCACGCGTTTTGAGAAATTTTTTAGGTTTTGTGTGTCGGTGTCAAAAAGCATTGAGATTTTAGGGGATACATCTCGAGGTCATATTATGTTATTTTAAACCATAAATGATCATTATATGTTGTCATAAATATTCGTGGTAGGCTTGAGTTAATGAAATCGGTGCGAGTTGTAAACCAGTAAATTCGCCGTTTAAAGGCAATTTGGATGGTAATTGGACTCCCGGATTTTATTAGGGACCATGGTAAACTTTTAGGCAATGTTTAATTACAATCGAAAAATAGTCAAAAACTTCCAATATTTAAAGCTAATAACCACGCTTTTTGAGAAATTTTGGAGATTTTGAAGCCCGGTATTGAAAATCTTTGAGATTTTAGAGGATACATCTCGGGGTCATATAATGCCGTTTGGAACCTTATATATTGTCATAAATGTTCGTGGTAGGCTAGAGTTATGAAATCGGTGCAAGTTATAAACCGGTAAATTAGCCGTTTAAAGGCAAATTGGATGATTCCACCCAGCCAATTGGGAACCATGGTAAACACTTTGGCAATTTTTATTTCGGAGTGAAAAAAGCCAAAAAATTCATAAAATCGAAGACTAATGTCCACACATTTTGCGAAATTTTGAACGTTTCGGGACTCGGTGTCGTAAAGTCTTGAAATTCCAGAGAATATTTCTTGGTGTAATATAATGCGGTTTGAAACCATATATGATTATTATATGTTGTCATAAATGTTCGTGGTAGGCTTGAGTGAATGAAATCGACAAAGTTGTCGTTAAAGGCAAAATGGATGGTTCCACCCACCCAACGAGACTCCCGGAGGGTAATAGGGACCATGGTATATATTTCTTCAATTTTTATTTCCGGGGCAAAAAAGTAAAAAATTTCCAAAATTAAAGGTTAATCCACGCTTTTTGAGAAATTTTGGAGGTTTCGGGGCCCGTTGTCGAAAAGTCTTAAGATTTAAGGGGATACATCTCGGGGTCATATAATGCGTTTGGAACCATATATGATCATTATATGTTTTCATAAATGTTCGTGGTAGGCTTGAATTAATGAAATCGGTGCAAGTTGTAAATCGGTAAATTGGTCATTTAAAGGCAAATTGGATGGTTCCACCTACCCAACTAACTTCGGGAGGGTATTATGGACCATAGTAAACATTTCAGAAATTTTTATTTCCAGGCGAAAAAAGTCAAAAAATTCAAAAATTAAAGGCGAATATCCTAGTTTTTTGTGAAATTTGGAGTCTGCAAGGCTTGGTGTCTAAAAGTCTTGAAATTCTAGAGAATACTTCTCGGGGTCATATAATGTCATTTGGAATCATATATGATCATTTTTAGGTTTTGATAAATGTTCATGGTAGACTTGAATTAATGAAATTGGTGCAAGTTGTAAAGCGGTAAATTGGTCGTTTAAAGGCAAATTGGATAGTTCCACCTACCAATTGGACTCTCGGGGGTATTAGGGACCAAGATAACATTTTGGCAATTTTATTTCCTTGCAAAAAAAGTCAAAAAATTCCAAAATTGAAGGCAAATATCCATGCTTTTTTAGAAATTTCGAAGGTTTCATGGCCCGATGTCGAAAAGAAATGAGATTTTAGGGGATACATCTCGGGGTCATATAATGCCGTTTGGAACCATATATAATCATTATATGTTGTCATAAATGTTCGTGGTAGACTTGAATTAATGAAATAGGTGCAAGTTGTAAATTGGTAAATTAGCCGTTTAAATCCAAATTTGATGATTCCACCTAACCAATTGGACTCCCAGAAGGTATTAAAGACCATGGTAAACATTTCGGCGATTTTTTTTCTCCGAGCAAAAAAAAGTCAAAAAATTCCTAAATTAAAGGCTAATATCCACTTTTTTTTAGTAATTTTGTAGGTTTTGGGGCCCAGTGTCGAAAAGTCTTGAAATTCTAAGGGATATAACTTGGGGTCATATAATGCCGTTTGGAACCATATATGATCATTATTTGTTTTTATAAATGTTCGTGGTATGCTTGAGTTATTGAAATTGGTGCAACTTGTAACCCAATAAATAAGCCGTTTAAAGGCAAATTAAACTTACACTTAAAAAAAAAACACCTTTCTAAAATAATTATAAAAACAAAACAAACAATAATTATGTACTCTTTCCGTTCCTTAATTAAATTCCTAGTTCTATCATTTATTGCTAACATAATAGAGAGAAGTAGGAATCTTAATAAGGGACGAAGGGTGTATTATTTTACACTTATGCAACGTGTCCCATTTTCCTTTTTAGCTAATTTTTCCTGAGTTTGCCCCATACTCTACTATTTTTGGTTTAAGAGGAGGATAATGAAAATTATTTATTTGGTTTATATATATGAGAGAGAAGTTATTATTTTTTTTGTGAATAATTTTTTATATATTCATGAATAAGTGTGCTCTTAGGACTTTGACAACATCTAACACCACACTTTTTTCCCCTCAACTCCTTGTAACCAAAAAATTTAATAAATGACTTAACTCTTTCACAGCAAATAAAAGAAAACCAAGGAAATACTCCATAATACATTAGTAAAGAATATTCATTTAAATCAAAATATGGAGTAAATTTGATAAATGTGGAACCGACTTTTACGACATGAAGTGAATTAATAAAGCCAGGGGCTTAGACTAGACTAGCAATGCTGCACTAGGCCGGTGTAATGGAGTAGAGAGAGTTATGATACTAACCACGTCAAAAGACGAATACCACGAGTTAAGTTTTTTTTTTTTTTTTTTCCAAAATTTTTAATTTTAAATTTTCTGATCATCTCTATTCTGTCTCATCACTATAAATTGCTGAAGTTAGTTGAATTAAATGAGGGAGTAAATTTATTTATATTTTTTTGAAGGAAACGACAGAGTAAATTAGTGAGACCTAAATCATTATCACGGAGTATGAAATTATTATGTATTGAGTTAAATATAAAAGGCTAAGTTTTAGGATTTTTTCATCTTTAGGTACCATTTCGTAGCAAAGTTTGTTAGGTTATCTACATGCTAACTCACCGTTAAACACACCATATAATTACTTTTTTTTTTTATTATTAAAAAGGGCATGACTATGGAAAGTCATAAAGTAATTTATGGATGATGGAGATATTTTATGGTGGTGGCTTATGAATATTTGATTTTAAATTTTTTTGATAATTGCCTTAAGCTTGTGCGAAGCCAAGGAGAATTAGAGAAGTTCTCTAATTTCTTATTAACAATTTCCTGCCAGGCCAACGTATGTTGATATATTGTACTCCGTGGTGAAAATTTCATTCACAACATTGACATGTATGTATACTATTTAGTTGTTTCTTTTTGCAACAACCCTAAATGTATACAATGCTAGAGTAGAATTTACTAATCATAGCCGGATGTCTGTATAGTAATATGTATATACTCCGTATAATTTTAGTTTAACAGGTGACCATTTTTTTGTATGTAGTCA